CACACACACACAAACACACACACATACGCACACACGCACACAAACACACGTACCCCCCCCACACAAACGAACACACAAACACACAAACACACACACACAAACACACGTACACATACAAACATACGTATACATGACGCACACAAACACACGTACACACACACGTAAACGCACACACACACACACACGCGCACACTCACACTCAGTCACGCACACGCACACGCACACGTACACACACACACAAACACATGTGTGTCAATAACTATAGCAACTGGGTTTTTTTCATACGTTTTGGGTTTTATGTAGCTAGCAGCGAATATTTCCTTAATGATATTGATCATTTTTGGTTTTCCAGACAACGTATGACTTAGATTCGGTTGTGGTTTAATGTTACAAGATACTATTTCGGTATGTGAAAAAAATTACTTCTCTTTCTCAATTGGATTTTGTCATCATTCTCTTGAAAGAACTCGTATTCTAGTCATTTGAATGCTTCAAGACACGCCCGTTGTAAGTACTAAAAGAATCATAAATTCTGTATTCAAACTATTACGAATAGTACTCTCATGCATTAAATCTACTACAGTCGGGCAGGGGGATAACTGAAACATGTCCGGGGACTGACAATTGCTTTCGACACATCCACGGTTCTTTCTCTCTCCCTCTATCTCTGTCTCTTTCTCTCTCTGTCTCTCTCTCTCTCTCTGTCTCTCTCTCTCTCTCTCTCTCCCCTCTCTCTCTTTTCCCTACCGCGGAGTCCATCCACAGAATCAATGACCAGCGGTATTCCCCTCTCCCTCAGACAGGCCGGCCAGTGGACGGTCAGCATGACGCGGCGGAAGTTGTGGTGGTAGGGGCCCAGGTAGCTAGCGAAGGCTGAAGCCATAGCACAGCCTCCAGGGATAGCCACCTGGCGGCGCTCGAACGAGTCGAAGATCTGTTGACATCTCTGGCGCTCTCCACGGAGTATCTGGGAGGGGAGTGAGTTGGCATACACATATTAAATCTCACTTTCTGTGCTATGCATGCATATATATATA